CTCGGTCCAACGCCGTGTGACCCGTCGACCGGTCCCAGGTATACCATGAAGGCGCGGTGGGTGGAAACTCAGTGCGGTGGGTGCGTACAGTTCTACCTGGAAGGAGAGTTCCAGATGTGATGTATACACCGGAAACCTCCAGGTTGGTGGTTTCCTGGTTTTCCCAGTCAGGGGCACAGGTTCACCACCTGCGAGGGACCAACGAACCAGCTGGAAGGGCCTGAAGGGCCTGGCAAGGTTCAGCAAGCTTGGCCTCAGGTGATTGGAGTGTTTGGGATTTGCAAAGACTTCCGAGATCTACCCTCGCGATCCCTGAACCAGCACCCTCCAACAAGCTGTTAGTTGAGGGTTGTTGGACTCTAACAGGTCTCACTTGGTGACCTGTGAAGTCGGTGCTGGAAGAGATCTATCACCAGGACTGAGATAGATCCTTTTGGAGTCACATAAACCCTCTGAGGTACGGTTTCTCGCCTGGAGACACTTGAGACATGTAGGCACCAGCATGCTCAGCCAGTCGGGTAGAAGTACCTGCTGAAAAGGGTTTTGGGACTCCTTCGGCATGCTTTCTGCGATTTGGTGGGCTCTGTGCCTTGCAAATCGATTGCCCCACGAGCTCCGGTGACATGGCAGGGGCTGGGCTGCCCAGGTTTGACCAGTTTCGGAGGTTTTTGGTGTCAAAGGTCACGGTCTACTGCTTGCTAGCTGCTAGAAATTAACCTGCAACCTGATGGAGACGATTCTTTTGCAGGCATCGATCTTCCCATGACCTCATGAGTGCCCTGTTAGGATAGTTTTAGGGTCAGAGAGACAACCTCGGCGGTGGGCCTACCAGCACCCTCCAACAGGTCTCCTTTGGAGGTTTGTTGGGCTCTAACAGGTTTCGATTTGTGACCTGTTGGAGGGTGCTGGCAGATGTCTTGCAAAAGGATGGCATATCCAGCTGACCGGAGTACAGGGGTTGGACCTTCTCCCTCTTCGCGGGGGGTCCCCGTCAAAGATCTCTTCCCATTTGGTTCGAGCCCGGCTTAGTCCATCCAACATGGCTAGTCCGAGGGAGGAATCATCCTCATCCGGGGTAGAGACATGTGCAGACAGGAATACTTGGGTGTGGTTTCCTGTTTCTCTAACCCGATTTCTGTCCAGTTAGGTTGCACATGGTTGCACTTCTTCTCTTCTTTTTCTTCAGAACTTATCTTTCACATGTGTTTTTTTGGATGTCTTGCAGGCCTGTGTATGGTTTGTACATGCTTGAATTGTCAAGGGATCACCATTTGCATCTGTTCAGACCTGTACTTGATGTCCTATCCGGTTGGAGAACCTTATTGGGGTGAGTGGTTTCTCCACTAAACATGAACAGGTGAACAGTTCGGAGAGCCTTTCCCCAGGCTTCCTGGGCTACCATACCACCATTCACTGTATAGCAGTTGCCGAACGACCCCCAAACGTTTCACACTCAAAAAGCCAGTCCTTCTCGGTGGGTTTCGAACTCTTTGAATGGTCCAAGTAGCTCGGCTTTTGGTGAAAAAAACGCCACCGGGCTTTCCCTTTTCCAGAACGAGGAGCCGCCGAAATCGGGAGTCCCATTTGTTTGTAGCATGTCTTAGAGCCTAACATGCACCAAGACCGCCCAGGGCGTCTCCCGGAGTTCTCCACTTCCACGGCCGGTGGTTTCGGAGATGTTTGTTTTCAACCACTTGGGGATGATGGTGATCCGCACACATCGACGTGTAGCAGTGGAGGTGGCGACAAAAAGCAGCCAAATGTTTCAAGAGCGGAATGTTTCAAGTGTCCGCAGAGGGTTTCTGCCCACTGACTCACCCTATTCGTTCGTCACTTGACCTTCGCCCAGCTCCACCCAGCCGGGCGCTGTTCAGCGGCTCTCCAGGCCAGCGAGCCACCAAAAGCAGTGCACAGAGGTGGGGGAAGTACAGGGTCACCAGCACCTGACGAGTCCAGCATTCCCGACGCTAAATGAAAGGCATGAGTTGACACATATTTCAACATGGTCTTACAGTCTCACACGCCCAAACAGCCATTATACCAGCACCCTGTCTCCTGGCCAGGCTGTGGGAAGTTGAGGGTTGGGAAGGACCCTATCGAGTCGGTCGAACCATTGGTGACCTGTAGAGTCGGGTCCTGGTAGTAATGTGTTTCTTTTTCTGGGTTTCGGGTGCTGGGTTTCGGTGTCGTCATGAATTTCCTGGAGGCGTTCCTGGGAGCTCCAAAGCTCGGGGTTGCTCTCAAGTCCCGGCTCCGGGATGACTTGGTCCATATATCTCTTCAACATGAGGGTGAGCATGGAGTTCCCCCGAACTCCAAGCCGCCTCTGCGAAGAAAAGCCCTGAAACCATGTAATTGCCATATTTGCCTATCGGTTGGGGTGGTTTGAGGGGGTCAATGGGGCGGCATATCTTCCAGTCCGGAGTGTTTGGGAAAGGATCGCCGTACGCGACTCTGCCGGAAGTCGCCGCCTGCCACTTTGACGTCTCCATTTCGGTCAGGGCCAGGGTCTCTTTGCGGGTCACGCCGGTGACCAATGGGTCCCAAGGCAGAGGATTCCAAAACAACATCGAGTCCGGCCTACACTGAAAACAGATCAGACCGGGGGGCGTGTTTCACGTTAACGGGACCATACCCACCTTACATGGGTGAGCGTGTGCAGAGTTACACGAAAAGAACGTCACCCTCCAACAGGTCTCCTTTGGAGGCTTGTTAGGCCCTAACAGGTTTCAATTGGCGACCTGTTGGAGGGTGCTGTTACTAGGACTTAGTGGAGCTCACTTTGGCGCGGTCAACCCAGTTTCAGGGGCCGTCGAATGCTCCGCGCTTGACACACCTGGCATCGCAGGCAGATGGACAGCTCCAATGAGGCAGGCAGTCCCCATCTAATCTGCAAAGTTTGGAGATTCGCATGCTTTTCCTTCGGATCGAGATCGGCTCTCTTTCTGCCCTGGCGCCCGTGCGCGTAGATGGAAGAGAAGCTTCTTCAAGAAATCAGATGGTGATGGGGATTGCATCATAACTTGGAGCCCTGGTCCACCATGTAGCGAAAGAATTTCGAGGTTGGGCCAAGGTCTGCTGGTTCTGACCCAGAAAAGCTGAAGCAACGCCAGTGATTCACTTGGGTTACTCACCCTTGTGATCATGGCGACCAGCAACGGATCCTAAGGATCCTGGAGTAAACAACCCGAAGAGAGTCGACCGTTTCGGGTCAGCCGATATCAAGTCGACTTGCACATCAAGTCGACTGGATCCTCCGTTTAAACACGGTGCCGTCTCCGCTGTGTGCTTCCCCGCTGTCGTCCGGTGGACCGGCTTCACCACCGGTGTGGTTTTCCGGTCCCGGCGGTCCGCCGTCCGGTTGACAGCCGAGCGCGAGGGTCCTTTGACCCAGTTCCGCAAGACCATTCAAAAGGTGTTCACCGGGTGTTGTAGTGTCAAATCTTTGAGTCGAACAGCTGGTTCTTTAGGATGAACCGACCAAAACAATGGTTGGCCCAACGGTTGGCCCAACAGCTTCATGCTGAATTCAGCATCTTTTCCACGCCGCTTCTCTCTTCCGCGGTGGAACGGCGTTCGTCGCAGGGGCGCACGGCCGCACGCCTGGCGATGGCGGCCCTCTTCCGCGCGTGGGCATGCCAGCGGCTCAGGACGGTCCCAGAGGAGAAGAGCCAGTGCAGCTGGACTGACTGATTTGGGCGATGGATTGACTTGAATTTGGCATTATTTTTTCATGCACTGTATTGGCTTGATGACTGTCTTGGACTCAGATGCCGCGTGCGCTGGTGGAGCTCTCATGGATCTTCAGTGCCTCGTGCGCCGACCGCTTTGCGATACCGACCTTGCGTCGCGAGCCAAACCACTGGGTGCCAGGATGAGAGTCGGTCGGACCCTCTGATGTCGGACCCTTGGGTGACCGGTTTGTTTCGGGACCGGTTTCCTCGGAGCATCTGGGCAGGTCTTTTCATGGTGGGGGGTAATGACCAGAGGTTTGATCCCAAACTCTGGGCAGTGAAGTCATAGCAAGGACACGGTGGACGCATCGTGGTGGAGAAATCTACAACCACAGGGAGATGCCCCTGAAATCTGTCCAAATTACCTCATATTGTCACAATGATCCTTACCTGTAGACACCTGTAGATGTTGCAAATGTATGTGCTATACCGCTATACCACCTTGATCTCTGCATCTCTTTTCTGTCATATCCAGACATCTGGGCACCATTTAATCTATAGTTGATGAATGAATGCCACGACATGTCCACCAGAAGTGACGTCCATCGCTTTCCGATCCTTTCCCCCCAACGGCACCGAACCGCACCCGAACGGCGCCGAACCACCGTGTCACACGCAACGACGACGACGACGACGACGACGACGCCAGATACGCCATCGCAGCGCCGTGCGACAACATCTCGCGAGGGACCTCAGCGGTGACGGACCTGCCACGGACCCCGAAGCTGCTGCGGGGGTCCAACGGACCCGCTGGAGCTACGAGCGAACTGGGTAAAAGCGCCCATGGACCAGTCCAGACTCCAGCATTTGTTCGGGTGCTGCTTCAAGATGTTGTGATGCGATCCCACTCAATCTCTACAGGCTCCCACCAAAGTGTCATTGTATATACATACAAAGAGGTTGGCCCTAACTGTAGCGTGAGATTTCTCGGGGTGGCCTCCCACCATCATGGCACCTGATCAGAAAAAGAAGCATAGACGGTCGGTCTGCTCCGCCTTCCGGGAGAGTAGCAAAAGAAAGCATGTTGCAGCTTTTTGAGGACATTGTTCCTTCAACTATAGGGGAGTGTTTTTTTCTTCAACTGATTGGTGCCCAGCAAGGAATTTCGGGCCTGGATCCCGAAAGATCGATACCTTTTTGGGCGTCCGACACCGCTCAAACGCACTCATATCATTTCCCAAACGGACTCCGCCGGACTCCGCGTACTCGCACCTCACACGCACTCCGCCGCTGGACTCGGTCCGAACAGCCGTCCCTGGCCGGCCGTTGGCTCCGTCAGCTTCGGGGCGCTGAGAGCGCGCCGTTCTGGGCGCTGCTTGGGTCGTCTCGGCCGGTGGTGACCGATGTGGCGCTGGACCGTGGCCGCTCTGCCGGTGGCTGGCCTGGCCTGCCCGAAAGGCGCGGAAGCGGGTGAAAAGAGGGGGCGATTGGTGCAGAGGCGATGTGGTTTGAGTGCTAAATTTTGCGCAGGTTTTTTTGGGGGGGGTGGTTCTTTTGTTGGCAGGTTTGACATTGAGGTGTGAAACTGGCTGAGAATCCGGTGGTGCCAGATTCGGAGAAGTTGGCCAGAGCAATCCACAGAGCTGCGGAGACAGGGGAAATCACTTTCAAGACCAGCACGAGGAGAACACTGCAAGATGGAAGTGGTTTTTATGAGGGAGAACCAAACATGTTTCTTCGGTACAAGACATGAGGGAACACTAGAATCTGTCGCGGATTCACAAAAGACCTTTTGGAACAAGTATGACCATGCGGTCCCACTTGCACACCTCCTTCAAACAATGCTTGGTGGCCACCAGCGAGGCTTCCGGGAATTCAAAGAAGGATGCTATGCCATCACGGAGGCACGAACCAGGGGTCGAGGGAACAGCCTGGGTTGAGCGTTGCTCTGAACAGAAATGGGTGATGCGGATGCGGGTGATGCTTTTCAGCATGTCGCGTTTCAGAGGCTAAGATCCATGTTGCCCAAAGATGGCAGAGATCTCCAAGGTCGATTCAGTCGACCCATGACATCCATGCAAAACTCGTGTGATCTTTCATTTCTACTCCTCTCACTCATGCAGCCACCGTGGGCTGCTCCCCCGTCCCTCGATGCCCAGAGACCGGAGACCTCAAAAGCTGGCGAGAACAACTGCGAGCGAGCCGTTCGGTTCGAGTCGCGATCTTCTTGTTCCTAGCAGTAATGCCAGGAGCCCCTAGTAGCGTCCTTGCTCCTAGTAGCGATGCCCTTTGCTCCTAGTAGCTATAGTAATGCCAGGAGCTACTAGTATGATATAACTCTATTTTTTGGATCGAAGCGGCTTCAAGGAGATGGGAAGCATGACGCAATGCCAAGATAACATTTGCACCTCATTGGGCGCCACCCTTGCAGTGATCCACGACGTCGAGGCTGGATCCCTTTCGGAGGGGATGGTGAAGTCGAAGAAATCGTTGGAGGAAAAGCTGCGTTTTTCTTTTGGACTCCCCCCAACAAGCATGGAACCCCCTCTCGTTAGAGGAGCATAGTCTTCTGGAGGTGACGGTGGTGGGACCTCCTCAGGCACTCTCCCACCTTCTTGCTCGGCAGCCGAGAGGTGGGCCAAAGGCTTCGATGGTCTTCCAGACCCTCCCTTTGAGGGCGATGAAGCGGTTGTCATGTTGAAGGGTTCAGCACTCTCAAAAAGAGTGACGGTGACAATTCAACCAAGCTCCCAGACAATAGATGCAAGTAATATATATCTAGAGAGTCACAACAAACTAAAAACATATAAAAACTAAAAACCTCAAAAGAACGGATTCAGCCAGATACCGATTTTTGGATCCACTCTTGGATCTGTGGGTTAGATATTTGTTTCAGCGGTTGAATCCTTGTTTGCCTTGGGCCAGGTTCAATTCTTCTTGGCGAACTTGACCCATGAGAAAAAGGCGCGCTGCCTTGACATGTGTGGTACTTTATTGGTCGGCCAAGTGGGCAGCCCACCGCCACAGCCAAGGATCAAACGGACCACCGTGTCCTCGGACTGATGACCCCCAGCGGACTCGGACCACGTGTGCTCCGAAGTATTCAGCTCCTCCGCTTGGCCATGAGTCCGATGGATGGCCCTTTGAAGTTGAAAGACCATGTTCCTCTGTTTTCAGTAAGGAAGTTCCCCCCTGAAGAGGTACTCGGGTCAGCACCCTCCAAAGCTGCCGTGAGTCACCACCTGCCACGCCACTTGGGTCATCTCCATTTCAGCCACCCAAACTCGGAGACCTGGATCTTTTTCGAGGAACTCTGCGGATCGGGTGCCGAACTCCGCGGGTGGTACCTCCAGGCACCCGCCTTCGTGGGGCTCTATGAGCGCGGGAGCAACGAGCAGCTGGGCTCCCGACGTCGCGATCTCGAGCTCGGGAGACGGTGAGAACTCTTCGCCACTTCGAAGAGTTCTCACATGGGTGGAAGTGGATGGCACCCCCGTGTTCGCAACGGAAGGTGGTCTTCCAAGGGGATCAAGCCATCCACTTACTTCCATGGATTCTGTGGGTAGATCACGAAGATGATGCAGATGGATCACTCATCACAGATAATGACAAAAATGTCACCTAGGACTTTGACCGTTGGTAGGTCCACGGACACAGGGCTTAGAGTGTTGGTTCAGGTTGACTTACTTTCCGCTCCAACACTCTCAACAGAATTCACCGAGAGGATGCGGGGTTCAGAGACGAGAAGTGGGGTGGGGTGCCCCAGGTCCTTTCTGCCCAGGTCCTGACCCGCTGTTCTCAAGCTGTGGGGATGTTGACTGCTCCGCGAAAGAAGGTGGTGGTGGTGGTGGGTGGTGGGGTGGGTGGTGGGTGGTGGGTGGTGGGTGGTGGGTGGTGGGTGGTGGGTGGTGGGTGGTTGGTGGTTGGTGGTTGGTGGTTGGTGGTTGGTGGTTGGTGGTGGTGGTGGTGGTGGTGCATGGTGAACTCCTGGGCTTTTTGGTCTCAAACTCCCTGGACTGGTGTGCAAACCCGAACGCCCCACATGAGCAGAGAACCTTTTGGGTCGCATACTTCTGTTTATCCTATTTCCAGGGCCCAGTGGATGATGCGGCCTGCAACCACAGGCCGCCATCCATCTCTCAAAAAGGTGATGTGAAACGGTGAAGCCCAAAGGCTCCTTCCAGGTCTTCTGGGACAGACCTGACTTCAACACCTTGGAGAGACCCGTTTTTTTCCTGTCAGGAGCGGAGATTGGACGTGGCTGGATGGAAGCAATATGAGCTTTGAGCCTGAGGGGGTCAATCAGACAGTGCAGCTTGGTTCATCTACCGAGACCAGTTCATCTGAGGGTGAGTTCTTGAACGGAGGGCACGACTGGCATTGAATCTAACGCCGTGGGGTTCCTATATTCTTACAGCAGCTATTTTTGTTAAGAGACCAGCATTTTTTTAAATGCTTTATGTTCTTCAGCTATAATATTCTTATTGACTGATAATGCATTTTCATGCTATGATTATTCTATCTACATCAATTATATCTTTCTTTATTTCTTTTATCAGAGTTCTACCTCATCATTTTCTTAGGCTATATTTTCATTCACTTTTATTACCTTATGGGAATACTTCCATCCTATCAATTTATCTATATCTTTCAGGAAGAGGAATGCCAACACCTTCGTCCGTCGCGCGTGACGGCCGCTCATAGGTGGCCGTCACAAATGGCAGCACCGCGCAAGAAATCCTGAGACTTCAGACAGGCTACTCTCAATAGGAGCGGATGCCCATCCAAACCAGTGGACATCAATGCAGCAACTTAGAAAAAGACACGTCTAACATCGTCTGACTATATTATACTGATCAGTATTTCATTTAGGCCGTTTTCTTCTACCTGGGCTGACCTGAGTGTTTGTTTTTGATACAGCATGAGGAACCCCCTGGCTGGCTGGGCCTACACCGAGCCTGACAATTGGTGCTTGGACGAAGACTGCGCTGCTTTGGGTGCCGCTTTGGCGGCGAAGACGGATTGGAGCAACCTCCAGGATATTTTTGGGGACGTTCACCCGGGTAGGTGTACCTTCCGAGGGGCCCGAGGGGTGTTCCTTCCGGCCAGGCCTCCAAAGGAAGGTGGTATGTCACATTGTGATTCAGTGATTCAGAGGATATTGACCGATTGACCTAAAGAAAACCCGACACCTGTAGATGGTCGAGGTGCTGGAACCTTCTTGGCGGGGTTCGGCATGCGACCGACTTGATTTGGGGCCACTTGTGGCACTTGTGGCAGAGGTGACGTGACAACCCTCACCGAGCCTGGAGGTTGTTCCATCACACTTGCAAAGCGACCTCCACATGCGGAGGAAAGGTTTGACCTCCACAGAAACGCGGATTTCATGCGGCCGGTACATCAAAAAACCATAAAAAGCCTGGGGGTGCTGCATTTCGGCAGATAGCCCATGGGCTACACGGCTACTGCAGTTTCCTCGTTTTTGGATATCGAACGAAACAGCACCCTCAGCTTATGCGAGATAGACGAATCCTTGGAAATGCTTGTCCCACTCCAAGGACGTCAGCAGGGGGCAGAGACCTGGAACCGGGCTTGGGAGCTGCAAGGAAGACGATGTTCCTTCAGGTTCCATGTTAAGGTATTTAACCCGGAAGACTCTTAAATCTGGTTGCATGGTTCCTTCTGAAGACTATTTTCCCTGATTTCAGGGTTAATATTCCAAAACGTACAACCGCTGTTTGATGATGCTTTTGGAGAGACTGTATTTCCCGGGTGGCTTTTTGGTCCGATGATGGGACGTAACTCGTTCTTCCAGAATAACACATCATGCGTCACTGTCATCTGACCCCATTCTCTTGGGTGCCTTGCCAGAAACATCGAAAGCAGACGCCGGTTCCTCATGGTCTTTCCCACTTGGTAGATCCTTGTACCAATTAGAAGTCCGAGTCCTGGACATGTCTCGGCTCCGGGTCCAGATCCACCACTGTCTCCGGTTCCGGATCTCTCAGATGGACTACATCTCCAACTACTCAAGTGCCAAGTTCGGCGTCTTCGCGCCGATGTTCAACATGCGTCGCACCATGGGCTTCTTTGACATCGCCTGCAGCACACAGCTCCATTGCTTGTGCCAGACAGGCCGGGGAAGGAGGAACTCTCTTTGGGATGTGGAGAGTTCATTCACTCGACCAGCGCCATCCATTTCGTGTGGCTATTTGCATTGGACATACAGTGGAGCTTCCTCCAGAGTGTTCTTTTCTTTGATCTGGGGTGTGAAAAAAATCTTTTAGAGTCACAGCCTGATATTTGAGTCTGAGGATGTTTTTTGGTTTTCTGATTTTCTGATATTCCACATAAGCTACTGGTGAGCCACAGGTGTTTCTCCCGCACGTGTCTTTTGGGCGGATGTTTATTTCGGTTGCGGATGTTTATGTGATTCACAGACCTAAATGAAGGTCTGTTGAACTACTGACCCCCCAAAATGCAACCACACCACGAGGTTGCAGGTATACGGTATACCCTTCCAGTCCAAAGACTATACTTTCCCTCTGTGAAGTAAAGGACATTCCCAGACTCAGATCCCATTCTAAGACCATTCTTTGTATAGTCTTTGACTCGCAGGATATATATATATAAGTATATATATTGTATATATGCACACACACATATATATATATATAATAGATAAGTCCGGTGATGCTATCGGGGGGTGAACAAAGCCACCCCAACTTGGCTGCCTACTTTTGGCATGTGGAGAGGTGCCTCACCGAGCCGACCAGAAGCAGCGCCGTCGGCCGGCCTCGCGAACGCCGAGGCGATGTGCTTCCGGCGGTGACGCAAGACTTCTTGATGTGGGAGTCCGGGGCTGCACGCACGTCAGACGCGAGTGGTGGGGCTTTTGGGCGGTGTTCTGGACCCTCCCGCGCGAAGGACACGACGTCTGCGTGAGTTCAGGGACCGGGGTCGGCCGGCGTCCGAAGTCTATGGAGGGGGTCCGGACCTGCTCACCACTCCCGGTTTTGAGGGACCAGTCGGCCTGTGAACAGAGTATGGAGGGATGACTTCCGAGGGGTGACCTGGAAGAGAACTCCGTTGACCCAGACGTTTCAAACAACACGGTTTCTTTGAAATGGTTATTTGAGATTCCAGAATTCCTCCATAGGATTGCAGGTCCAATGAACTTCCTAGATATTCCTTAAGAACTTCCTCAGTGTGCATGTTTTTGATCCGGGGCGTGAAAATCCACAGGCGTTTGTACACAAGCTACGGGCATTTATTAGTGAGCCACGGGTGTTTTGACCCGCGCGTGCCTTTTTCAGCGGATTTTTGGTTGCGGATGTTTATATGGTTCACAGGCCTAAGGAGGTTGCAGGAATGAGGGTCCAATGAGCCTTTGGATAGTTATTATTGGCTTCCTGGACAGCACATCTAAGGAGTTCAACAACTCTCTGCGCTGGGATGAGAATAGCCTCCACATGAACAGGACCTATTGGGAGAACTATATGACATGCTTCAAGAAGAGGACGCGTTTCTGTGGCGCATTTCAGGTAGGTTCGTCAAATTCAAACATGGACGGCTTCATAGCAAGACCATCCTGGACCGGGGTGTCCTGGCTGGACTGGGTACCACACGGATCCGGCCGTTCGGCTTCCTATTCCAGGGCACCCCAACAGGTCGGATGGTCCAGGTATGGTTTCTCTGAAGAACACATGCACCTGTTCCATTTCTTCTTTGTGGACCGTTCTGTGGACCCACCAACCCGCCGCTGGCAGATCCGACGAAGGTTTGAGTCGGATTGGGCCTGGATGGGCCTGGATGGGGGGGGATGGGCGGAACCAGCGTAGACGACTCGTGCCCTCACACCATTTCATCGTCTATGACTCATGTTCTGCAGAAGAGCGTGTCCCAAGGCTGCTGGTGGTACAATGACACCACGTTCCAATTGACTTTCGTTCTGCTCTCCCTGCTCTGTTTGGGCTGCCTTGTCTTTAGCCTGGCCGGCTGCAATGGAGGCAGACCGGGACGGTGGGACCGTGTGCACGTCGCAGGTCGTTTTCGGTCCACCCAGTACGTCGCGATCGCGATGGAGCCAATTTGGAGCCGCGTTCGTGGCGCATGTACCGCGAGTGGAGCCGCGTTTGGGTGCGAGAGGTTGAGCGAAGAATGGGTCGCCGGAACTGAGACTCGCTCGGTCCAAAAGAGTGTTCGCTCGGTGGGGCCTGGGTTTTGAGAGACAATCCCTTCTTGTTTCACCAGAAGGGTTGCTCGGTACCATGATCAGGATGGGTGGCCGGATCGTTTGGAACCGGGATGGGCGATCGCTCTTTTCCAACTGACTGTTCTTCTGGACTTTTGTGCCGCCAGCCTTTTCGCTTGTGCGAGGTGCACAGCGAGAGGTCACGCTCAATGATGCAACTGCAGCTTCCAACTACGGCCAGCTGCTGGAAGCCTGCGAACGTGTCTCGGCGTGGCACCGGGTTTCACGCCCAATCTCCTGCCAACAGCACCGGTTGGAATCCCGTTCCGCATCAGTGTTTGACTCAGGAGCTTACACTACAAAACCAGGTCAACCAATTTGTTTATATTGGATTGGGTCTAGACCCGAGTTCTTCTAGAATTCTTGTTCCATGGGCATGTCCAAGATGTCCACTTGGGACTTTGACAAGAGATCTTGGGATATGAAACGTCGACGTATTATCCCAGTTTTTCGAGACATCTCTTCGTCCCTCTCCTTTTCGCCTCTGTGACCCAGACACTGGCGGCCTACCCAAAGCTGGCTTCAACCATCAGCCAGACGTGCCAAGCTGCCGAACAACTACTCCACCGCTGGCGAAAACCAAACATAGCAGGGACTAGGTGACTAGCTAGGTATATCCGTGAGAGTCCACGACGATGTTTCAAATGGTTGAGCTGAGGTGGTTGCTCGGTAGAGCCGTTATCATGGTGGGCCAGGAATATGTTGGAATCCTATGGTGCCAAACGGCCCCTGCCTTTATTCCCGGACCACGGTACATGAGATCTCGGGCGTGCGAACCCTCCGTGTTGGCAAGACCGCGACGTTGAGCTCAAAGACCAGACCAGCACCCGAAACCTGCCAGGTCACCAATGGTTTGACCTCCAACAGAGCCCAATTCCCAACCCTCCATTTCAGAGACCTGGCAGCTTTCGGGTGCTGGGACATGACCGCCTTTTTTTGGATAGGAAGTTGGACGATCGTTTGGGTACTGCATTCGGTGATCCAGTAGCTGATGCCATGCACTTGTGGGCCCTCTCTCTAAGTGTGACCTGCAGTGCCGTCCCATGGCGGTGCACTGTGTGATCCCGTTCGTCGTGCGCTGAACTCATACACCCTTAAGGGGGATTCTTCCTGATTGCCTGCTCCTGCATTGACTCTTCACTGGTGGTTTTTTTCTGCTCGAGATTGCTGATCGAAAGCCGCAGGGCCCACTGAATCAATAACTGAAGATGACTGCTCAGGCATGCATTTCCAATTTTCAATACACTGTGTACAGAGTACTTCCACAGGTAACGTTAGCTAGATAGGAACTCAAGATGCCATCTTTCCTCACTCCCCTTCTCAGGGGCTCCACCTGAATCTTCAGGTTTTCATTGCAGCAGTTGACTATCCCTACATGCCATGTGCGGTCTTTGAATCGAGATGCGTGTTCTTTTCTCCTGCACCAACTACTCCACCTCCCGCCACGCATGTGCGATCTTTGAATCGAGATGCATGAATTCCGCCAGCAGATTTCGCGTGTGCAAACTACCTCCTTCCTTCCCTTGCGGAGCGTTTGCATTTTCTGGGTGCGCCGGATTCACGGCCTTCTGTGTGTCACTCCCTGTTCTAAGGGAACACATCACGTCGCCTACTTCCCGCAGATGGCAGGGGTCGGACCTTCTCCCCTTCGCGGGGGTCCGGACCTGAACCAAACCCTTCAGATTTGTTCGGGCCTGGATTCTTAGGGTATAGAAAATTACTCTCCTAACGTCAACCCTCCATGAACTGGAGCCAAGCGATTTGGATCCGTTGACGGCTCCATTGACGGAACCTCCTTTTCACAGCCTTGCACAGTGAGGGGCTACATCCCGGACCCACAGGTTGTGTAGCCCCCACCTGACTTCATGCTGGATGTATCCTGTGGCCCCAACCACATCCAAAAAGGGACTGGGGTGGGTGCCATGGGTGAAAGTCCCCACCTTCCGACAGAAACCTTAGGGTATAGGTTGGTAGCCTTTTATAGGTTGGTAGCCTTTTCCGTGGCCTTTTTTCCCAGGTCAGAGTGAAGTGGACAACACCGTGGACAGGCAGGAGCTCTTTTGCTCTTTTCATACCCCGAAGTTCTTTGGAGAGTGGATCATCTGGTCAGACCATTTCAAAAAAAGTCGACTCGACTCTGAGGCTTCTAAAACCCTCCTGTGACCAGCCAGAGGGTTCTCATCGTGTCAGATACCCAGGTTTGACATCAGGTACCCAGACTTCAGACCATTCTTGTTTTGGAGTCCGTATCACCTGGGTCTGAAGCCAATTTCCAAAAGAAGCTCGGGTTTGTTGAGAGTCTTGAACAAAGACGGTGCCCAACCGAGAGCCGTTCACCCGGGTGCTTCCCGATGACCTCACCACCGAGATCGGTGGTGGTGGTGGGGTCAGCCATGCAGGTGGATCGTGAGAGGTGCATGGGCATCCATGGCGTATGGCGTGACCCTCGTGCTTCTATCGGTCACCACCATGTGCAGCTTGCTACGAAACCTGGGCGGTTCCGTGCAGCGTGCGCGCTTGCTACGGGGCTATCGGCCCCAGGTGGAGTAAGGACCTCATGCGTTGGAGCGGCCCAAGATCCACCATTGGAGTAAGCAGATGTAATTTTGAGGGAAAGGATTCTGGTGATTTCTTCTTCACCCCAAAGCTCACTAGACCCTCATAGCTAGGCTTTTGACCCTCACAACTGGGTTTTGGACCTGAAAAACCACGGCGCCGTTGCTTCGGGTCCGAACGGGTCGCTCAGCTGGGGACCAGACGTCTGCGGCTGAAATCATCTGCTCAGCTGGGACGCACGGCGTCGAACGACTCGGAGGTCATGTGAACTTTGGCATCGGCTTCGGCTTCGGGGTGGATGGCTTGGAAGCGGTGCTCTTGAGTGCGCTGCAGGTGCTGATTTGTGGATCTGTCACTTGTGCTGATTTGGGGCGTAGAATTTCAGGTGGTGGGTTGTAAGTTGTCAGTTGTACTTATGTGAGGTAAAGTATGAAGAGTTTGAGAATGTTTCATGTTTTGACTCATCCAAGTGAAACTACGGGTCATTCATGGTCGTTCCAATATACAAGGCCAGGCAAGCTATATAAATTGATTTGGGGCATAGAATGAGTTGCTACAAATATGGACCTGACTCCAAACCCATGCCCCAGTCTCGTCCAGTTCGATACCAGGACATGTCCGAAACCAGGTACCCAGACTTCTTTCGAACGAGTCGACGTCTTTGGTCCATCGGACCCACACCGGGCCTTTGAGCGTCAAACCGGACTGGTGCCCTTCGAACAGAGCCAGACAGCGGATTCAGGCTTGTATGGTGCAGAAGCATTTGTCCACCGCTTCGAGGTGCGTTTGGGAGCAAATTCGAAGACGTGTTTCGTCTCAGCAGCATAGGTGCAGGGTCATCCCGACCACATCATTTGCCAACTTCCTGGCGGGTTTGTAGGACAAACATTTTGGGTGAACCATACATATCTGTAGATCTTTGCAGATGCTTCGGATCACATGAAGGGATCAACCAAAGCGACAGGTCGAACAAATGGTTGTTGTCAATGCAGGTTTGGGATTTCTTTTGGTCTTGGCTGCTGCGTGCTTTAAGAATTAACTTACATATCTTCCCGTCAGGTCATCCTCCCCGAAAAAGATTGGGTGTTGGAGAGTATGAGAGGTCCTCAAGCTGGCTTTTGACCTCTGAAAAATGATAGTTTAAGATAGTTGCCTAGAAGTCCAACGACTATACAAAAAATCCTCAGTACAGTAAAGGAAGTTTTTTTTGGGGTCATCTAGTCAGACCATTTTCACAAACTCCCAGGGTGTTATTTTGGAGGGACATCCTAACTATGCTGTCGAGCACTGCTACAATACTCCCTCCAAGATGTCGCCTCTCAAAAACGAGAGCTTTTGGATCATTTTCCGTGCCCAGTGCAGGTTGCAGAGGTTGCAAGTGGCTTTGTTGTTTGTGTACGTGCCGGTGTGCAGGTTTGCGTCACATCCTATCCAGATCCCACACATTTCCAAAGAGATCGGGCCATTGGCACCGTCATTGAATCTGCGAGGTCAGGCTAGAGTTAGGGTTGGGAATTATGCAACGGGCTCAAGAGAGACACCAGCACATGTTCCAAGAAAGGGGGATCAGAGATCTTAGATCGAGTGTTCATCAGATAAGCAGAGTTGCAAGATCACAAGTCAATCGCAAGCACTCTGGGCCTCCCAGAGCCGCGTCACCGATCCACCTCGTGGCATCCGGATCCACGGTGGACGAGGACTAAAGGCATATATGACAAGATACACATGTATACACAACAAGGCACCCTCGCCATCCCTCCCTTCGAATTGGAGTGCGCCCCTTTGGATTTTTATACCCCCCGAAAAGGACCTGCTTGCTGTGAAATCAGCTGGGCAGCTAAGCTCACCTCCATGGCCTTGGCGCATGGGTGGCTGTGAGGCATGTGGTGCAGTGGTGGGTCTTGGCCTTCGCCTTGGCCAAGTTGGGCATGGCCGTGGGGGACTTCATCCTCGCCATCATGTACTTCAACGAGACGTTGGGCCTCTTGGGCCAAAAAAAACGGTGGACAGAGACGAATTCAAACGGACTGCGGATGGTGAATTCGGTGGGATTTGGATTGGAAGTTGACAATCTATATATATATATAGGCTCAACTGGGTGTACACTGTCACCATGGGCGCCACAGGAGACATGAGGAGACCGGAACCTGCGGTTGTGCGGCACCCAAACGCTCCGTGGTCCAAACCGATGGGATTCCGGGTCCATGCCGCGACCGGTCCAGACTTCAACATCTCCGCAACATCGGCCGATCGGCCGAAGGACCCGGCGCGGTTTTGCTCTGAACTGGTTGAATCATTGTTCCTGCCTTACATGGGGGGGGCTAAGGTAGGAGTCATGTTGAATCCCCATCTGGGGAATATGATGTCCTCTTTTTCCTTCTCCTGAGACGCCAATCCAAGCCGGGAAGTTGACTGCGGAACTCCGTGGTGACGTCGCGTGAAAAGTCTTGTCTTTTGGGCGACCCGTTGTTTTGAGCTCCGTTTTGGAGCTCGCAGCAACCTGTGACGTGGGAAGTGTTTGTGGGAAGGTTGGCACCAAGTTGCTGGGGGACCCACCTTGGATGCCCCACAAAACGGGACTCCAATGGGGGGGTTTTCACGATGAGCTCCTTCAACCCAAGGTCTTGAGCTGATTCATCCACCATCCCGCCATCGGACCCCGCTGAAATCGGTTGCTAAACACACTGGACCGATCCGGACCACGTACAAAGACTATAGAGTATTCTGCCCTACTGATCCCCCACTGAAGTAAAGTCTTGTTCGGGTCACCGTGACTCTGAAACACCTTTCCTGACAAATCGTCGACTGAACTTCCCCCCTGTGTGAGCGACGCCATGCGCCGGATCTTCGGATTGACGCCAAACACGGTTGTTTCTTTTTGGGAAAGAGGTGGCTTCGTGAAGCAGAACTCCAGCTTCTGCACTGCGGGCTACTTGTTTCTTTGGATCCTCAGCCTAGCAGAACGTAGCCGAAAGCAAGCGTAGCAAGCGTGCAAGCGCTTGGGGGTGGCCATTGACACTGTCATGGTGATGTCTAATGGAAAGGTGGCACCCAGGTGGAACTGCATGCCATTCACTTATACTACAAGCACTTTTGTGGGGAAGGATGTTCCTGAGCACTTGAGGGCGCACATGGAGCCTGTTGGCTTCATGGGAGTTCTGCACCTGCATTCTTCGGCTAAAAGGGAACAACAATCGATCCTAAGGAAGGTTCTAGTTCCTTGAGACCCTTGAGTCCCTTGAGTGACATGGAGCCTGCGAATACTTGTATTTCATTGCTTTGGTCTACAAAGCACTATTCGACTTCCCTTTAAAGATCTAATAAAGCAGAGGTTTCCCTATTCTGAGACTTGAGGCACCAAAGAGATTGCTTTTTGCTTCTAAACAGTATTCTGTCAGGGAAGAACCCAGTATGTTATTCTAATGGACTGTACAATATATACATCAATAGATTATCTACTATATAAATAAGACACATCTACCAATCGCACCATCCATATACTTGGGCCGGTCTTCTGGACCTACTGGGCACCTTCTCTTCTCTTCTTCCTTCATATTCTCCCCAGTCACTTCAGGATGCTCATGACATCGATGATTTGCCAATCTGTGGCCGGCACTGCCTTTGCCCGAATCCACGTGGGCGCTGTGCAACAGATGGGCGGAGCTGCACAGGCGCGTTCCGTTAAAAGAAGCGCCGCGGGGCTGGGTGAAGGTTGGGAACTCAGCACAGTAACTGGTTTTGCGCATCAGGTGTTTTTTTTTTCTCATTTTCACGATATGGTTAAATCCCCTTTGGGGATTCTTTTTTTGCAAGGTTTCTAGTATAGGATTATAGAATGTCAAGGATTGAGACTTGTTGGACATTGATTTCACGAGATAGGCAGGGATCAGTTTTGAGGGCATGATGGATGGGCATACCAGGGTTGGTTGTTATAAACCAATGCACACAATTTGCTTTGATGAATGTAGCTTGAATTCTTGGATACCTTTTGCATCTTTTTGCATAGCTTGATCACCGTCCCAAGAGAGAGAGAGAGAGAGAGAGAGTTGCAACACCTTCAGACCACCATCAGACAGCGTCTTCGTTGAGTTGGGGAAGCGGAACGGTTTTGCTCTGCTCTGAAAGCTCCCTCAGGTGACGAAGATCATCGGATGTTCGGGTTTGCTCTTGATTTTCACCACCTTCGGTGCCTGGGAGTTGACACACCGGGTCGGCACCGGGAGTCGCGCCGGGAGTCGCGGTGTTTTCTTCTACTTTCGAGGCCATGACGTCTCCGTCCCTTCTTGCGGTGTGTTTTGGCCGAGCGGCTTTGGAGATGAATTGGAGTTGGAGGGTCAGTGGAGTAGGGTCAGTGGACGCACTGGCTTTTTGGATCAATTGGAGTTGGAGAACCTGGTGCTGTGAGAAGACGCGCTTGGACCCAACGCGCTCCACTCGCCCCTCGTCGACTGGGACCCAACACCGCCGGTCAACAGCGAGAGCAAGGCGTTCACAGCGAGAGTCGAGCATCCTGTGAGTGCTGGGACCGGAACCATTGGTCATGTCAGCGAGGTTTGGGTCGATGTTTGTGTGGGCGATTTTTGGTTTTTCTTCCTTTTTCCGCCCTGCGGCCTGCCCGGCCTGCCCGAATCTCCATGCGGCCCGGCCCGAATCTCCATGCCTGGCTGAGGTGCTGGCATGGGGTTGGGTCTTTGTGGAGCCCTCTTCATTTTTGATAACTCCAACGACACGATTGACCCCATGGCCGGGATCTCCATCACCTACTTCGCTCCTTGGACCTTCGTTTCTGCGCGCAAACACAAAACGAGCATCTGACATATATATATATAGCTTATTAGCGGGGGGTTCCGTTTTTGGTGATTCCGTTTTTTGATGAGATCCTGGAAGACTTGGAGAGTTTTTCGTTGGACTCTGAAGAACTCATGAAAGAAACGAAGAACATCATTGACTGGGAGATCTTTCCAGGGCGCGTTGAAGTTCCGCCCTGCCCAGGGTGCTGCGCTCTGCCAGTTCCTGGCTGGTGCTGCGCTGCTCCGGGCCAATACCCAGGTGCCGGGCCAAGCCGAACGTCGACCCAAAAGTTCCCCTTCAGATCGAAGGCTTCCCACAGAAAAGACTTGCACTTGTATCTTTTTATACTTTAGAAGACAGATAATTATATATTGAATTATACTTCTTATTTTAGTTTGCAGATCAGTTTCTTATCCTTTTTGAGGGGATTTCTTGAATTTCTTTCAGAGGCTTGCAACTTGCAACCCTTGGATTCTGCGTCTTATGACGGACAGTTGGCTCACATCCAACCTTCCAAGGATCCAGAATCAAGCAATGGCAATATCAAACATATACTGTACCCTAGCCATCCAACACTATGTTTCAAATGCTTGACCTGGTTTTGTAGTGCAAAATCCTTAGTAAAACAGCTGGTTCTTCTAATTCTGGGGTCGGCCAGGAAGCCTAGGGATATAGATTGGCTTCTTGGCTTCATTTATTCACCCGCTGCAGGGATCTTGCTAACTGTGGGTGCCCTCCTACTATCCGAACACTCCATGACACATCTGCCTACATTGGATTGGTTTCAGGGGTCAATGGGGCGGCAGTCCTATCGCAGTCCCATTAGTCGTGTCTGGGCTAAGCCGATGTGGCAACATCGAGTTCGGTCGGACCTGGTGCCTGGTGGTCGGTGGGGTCACACCAACGACCACACCAACGACCCAAAACACAGCATGGCCAGGGTGGTCTTTCGCACGTTATCAGCGGATCGTCCCCATGGACCATCCGTTTTCACGCCGTCAGGTTCGCGCCTACTTCCAGAGGGATGCAAGGCAGACCGGTCGTTTCGGTTTTCCGGGTCGCTTAGGTGTGGGCCAAGCAATTTAAGGGCGTGAGGACGAATGGTTTGCTCCAAACCTCAGAAGTCTATAGAAGTCCAAGGACAACCTTTTCCCCAATGAGGTAAAGGAAGTTCCCGTAATCAGCACGTCCCCTCTTTGCAAGACTGAGCCTTACACTTCTGGCTCGATCTGGGTGATCAGGGTGAGGATGAATTGAAAGGTCTCATACACTCATAGACTGATTAGGACCTTAGGACTTTTCTCAGACTCAAAAGACCATACACGCCTACGTTTTTTGACATGCCCCGCAAGCTTACAAGATCTGTTCGTCTGCTCAAAGACCTCATGTATGAGCCTCATCATGGCCTGTCCCTAAGTCAGTGTGGCTTCCTTCCGACATGTCTCACCATGTTGACCCATCATGCGAGCCAGCTGCGGTTTTTTTGGGGGCAAGCTGTTTGGGGGACCTTCGGTCTTGGGCTCAGCCAGAGCTTGGTCCAAAGCGAAGCCATGTGGGTATCGGAGACCACCCAGTTCGACCCAGTCTACGCAGCCAGGGCGGGGTCTCAGGGTCTCCCTATTAAAATACACACCCACAATGTGGAGACCGGTTTTTGGACGGTGCCCTTCCTTTTTTGGTGTCCTGGACGGGCGCATCTCGCAGTGGCTGAGGTCGATAACTGAGATGCAGTCTTTTTGATGGCCAGTGCAGCAGCCATCAGGGTTGGCCACCCGAAGCGTAGAAAGATGTATACAAAGGAAAGGGTCACTCAGTTAGTGAGGGCTGGGCCGGCTGGGCCCTACCCCCACAAAAGCATCCCCCTAGCCATTGCAGGTGGGTCATTTCTCAAGCCGGAGAGTGCGCCAACCCTAATCACTTTGCTATACTTGACCGATTGCTCAGAGAGAAAAAGCACGAGCAGCGCGGAGAGTTCCGGTGCTGGACACTGACCAAGCAGTTCATGGTCAACACATGAGCAATTCTTTTCCTGTTTGATCTCCGGCTTCCTAATACTATTGATTTAATACCCTTTTACAGGACAACCATTGTTTTACTAAAGGGTTTTAAACTACAACACCAGGTCGTTCCCCCTTTTAAAAGACTCTTGGAAGCCCAGGGATCTCAAGACATATGGGGTCTTGACTTGTTGCCCTTCATCTGACGGATGATCGAAAGGTCTTGCACCCAAGGGGATACACTAATTATATAATGTGCAACAACGCCTCTTTTCCGGTGCAAACGAACTCTGATCATTTCTGGCTCCAACGGTGGCGCCAAAAAGGGGTGATTCGGTCATGGGCAGAATCGAATGCGCGGAGTCCTTGTTGGAAGACAACATCACGACTGGGGCCCAGCTTCACTACAAGATCCTTGGACTGCCTTGCTTCCCTGTTCGGGCAGAAGGATTTACTGTATACCTGGTGACACATGGTGGCACTTCCAATGGGACAGACTGGGCGGCCCTTTATGCCCTAGGTTGGTTGATTTGAGGGGATACACCGGTCGTGAACCGGTCTATTACATCGCCCCCTTTTTTTTTTGGTCGGACCACAGTGCCAGGCATCTCAACAAGAAACTGATCTGCTTTTGTCTAGCTTACCATGAGGAGTCAACTGTACATATTCCTACTCTACCCTTAGGCTCAAGATGAAACAGGCTTTATGTACCAGCACCCTCCTGGCCAGGCTGTGGGTTGGACTGTTGGACCCGAATCGGTCGAACCAGACAGGTGACCTGTCGGGTCCTAGTCCCGGTCGGGTCTGAACCCGGTCGAACTGGACGAGTCGATCCCAGGTCCAACTCTTGGCCTGTGAGAGCCTTCTGGTCCCAGCTTCGGGGGTTTCGTGGAAGAACAAAGCGGAGGCGGCCGATTTCGGAAAAAGAGAGGCGCCAACACCGGAGGCCGGCGCGTGAAGTGGTGAAAGGATGTTTCAAGGCTTCCCCTCGAATTGGGTGAACGGGGGGTGAGTTGATTTGGTGTTTTCTCATGTTGCTTCACTCAAGGGTTTCCCACGACGGTGGTGAAGGCGTCGCGGCGCGATGTGAGTCACAGGAGGTTTCATTCCGGGTTCCGCCTGTCAGGCACCCTGGCGGACTTGGCGTTTCTTGTTGGAGTAAGCGGTCTTTTCGGGGCTAAGTATATAAGGTGACCGAAGAAGGCGACCACCAAGAGCGAAGACGAAGTGAAGATCCTGCAGCTCAGGTGATGTTAAGGATTCGTGGGGCTCTCGTGTAGGCCGTGAAGAAGACATTCCCGTTGGGAGTCTGGCCGCCTCGCCGTGGTGCCTCTGAGTTTGATGGCTTCAGCTAGGAGCGATTTGCACATATGGACCTGCAAGCAAACCAGGCCGCCAGCGAGCCTCCAATCCTCGGATTCAGCAGAATATATAGCATGTACGTACACTTTCTGACTTTTAACATGCAGCCTAGGTCTCTGTAAAGGTCAGCGACCTTCGAGTATTTTCTCGACTTTCGAGGACTTCCGAAAACAAGTGAGCGAAGTATCCACCGCTTCAGGACCATCGTTGGTAGGAAGCACTCAGCACTCCACACGCACTGGTCCTGCCCTATCCCTCAACCTGGCCTATTGCAAGCGTGAAAGTGCTACCTCTGGTGACCCTGCAAGTTTCTCAATTGAACTACGTCCATGGCAGTCCCAAATGGATGGTTCCGGGCACCTGACGCCGTGCCGCCGTGACGCTGAGTGATGTGTGACTGCGACTCAGCGCATGGTGGGGAGGATCTGCGCATGGTGGGAGCTGTAGGACTCAGAGTTGTGTTTGGGCCCCAAACACAGGCAGGTGAAGCCTCAAATGCTTCATTTGTTGCAAACTAGATAACAGTGTGGGCTGGGAGCACAGCAGGAATCACACGATATCACACGGCTATACCGCATGCTAAAGGACGAGAACACATAAAAGACATCAATTCTAGATCTCAGACATTGTGGTTGAAGTATGTAGTTTTACACCCTAAACATCCAGGCCTTAGGTTTGGTTTGGGCTCCGGTCCTTTCCCATTCGCATTTCAGTGGAGAAGCTCCAACCAAACACTGCGTGAATCGGTGGAGAAGGCCTGCTCCAACCGATTCCGAGGGCGTTCGGACCCCGCTCCGCCGAGGTTGGTGCGGCCTCTTCCAGGCCGTGGAAAACGTGGGGAAAACGAGTCGGCTTGGAAGGCGTGGAGTCTGGGGACTCGTCCCAAACCAGGGATTGAAAGCAGCGAGACCAGTGGTTTCAGAGGTTCGGGCTGCGGCTGCACTTTTGACCCAAAGATGTCTTGAAAAGATGGAAGTCGAGATACACCTCCAAACTTGGGGATTGTGCCACTACTCTGAAACCACTACTCTGAAACAGCTGTTTCAGAGTAGTGGTTTCAGAGTAGTGGCACAATCCCCAAGTTTGATCATTCTCCTTCCACGGGGTCGCACCCCCTCACTTGCGACGTGTCGTCTCCTGACTGACGTGTCAGGCCCCTAAACAGGAGACGATGACGACAGGGTCCAAGTCTTGTTTTGCTGTTGCTTTCAGAAGGATGTTGAGCCCTCCAAGCTCGGTGAATGAGCAGTTCCCAAGGCAACCGATGCACGAAGGCAACCGATGCACGTGGGTTCCTCTTGGTCTGCAGCTTGATCTTCGGAATTCCAAGCCTTCCAATCGACGAGTTTTAACATGTTTGACCGTTTGACCATGGTGGGTTTTCGTGTCAAGTCCCTATAGTTAGCTAAAGCAGGTTCTTCCAGATTCAGACTCTTCGCCTTCGGCCTAAGAAGGCTAAGGGAGTCTTAAGACGCTCAACCTGGCAGGGCTCTTTTTGGGACCTCACACTCCGGGCGACCGGCCCAAGTCGCGACCTGCCGGACTGGACCCCGCGCGACCGACGAACGCCGAGATGGATGCCCTTTCACGCACGCCGAGTACCACGGCCATGCCGGTGGGGTGGTCCACGGCGGGCGCTGGGCGCCGTGGGTTCCAGGCGGCTCCGAGCTGTACGACGCCGAGACGGAACTGGGTGACGTCAGGTGATTGGTCGCAGCTCGTTTCCCAAGATCGAAGAAGAAAGAAACTGCAGATGATGTTGTTTCAAGCCCCATGATTTTGCACGTACCAGGACCATTCGACCACCGGGGTGTCCTGGCTGGACTACCCCACACTAATTACCTAAAGGCTTCCAGACAGGGCACCCCTTTGGATGGTCCAGGATGGTCCAGGTATAGTTTTTCCAGGAAGTGTTTTATGGTTTTGTTGGTTTGCCAGGATCAGAACAACCTGAGGAGAAGAAGCTCGACCCGCCCTCGCCCTCAGTATAACTCGCCCTTCGACTTACCGCCTGGGTCGCGGTCGAGGCGGTGTTTCTCTGGGCTCCTGGTGGTGCTGGGCTTCCGCCTTCGAAAGCGCCACAAGATCGGGCAGACCCGGAGTTCGCGACGAGGAGAAGAGAGGTGGGACGAGCCCAGCTGTTCTTCTGTTTCCAGTACTGTCCCTCTATCCCAGGATTCCCCACAGTCCCAAAGCATGCTGTAACCTTCACATTTCGTGGTGTTGTATGGATTAATATTGGTGCAATTGCTGCATCAGTTGCTGCAATGGTGTTGTACACAGGGGAATTTAAGATGCGCGCCTCGTGCTCGATGGTTTCGCCACCAAAAACACGCAATGTGAGACACACTTGTGAAACATCAACCTGAAGGGATTGATTCACTGTGTTCACGAAAGGAGGTCAAGCGGTCCGGGCCTTCAATCCATCAGGTCCAAAGACGTCTCAAGTGATTCAGGTCTCGAGCGGATGAATTGGTGCAGGGGCTGTGCGAAGCGGCGACGGAAAGAAGCCTGGATGTGTTGAGTTGTGTGTTCTTTTTGGTCAAAAGGAGAGTGACCCCTCAAGAATTCTGTTTCTTTTTGGGTTGAATCCAGTTGAATCCATGCATCAGAGTTATTGGGAATTACTATTTGTCGCCAAAGTACCCCTGGGTGAATTGAAACACTACCCATCGGGTCACCACGCCAGCATAGCTGAAGATACGATAATGTTATGTACGTGTAGAGGTTGAAGCGGACAGATGTAATTATATATATATATATGCCAAAGCATGGGAGAGCACCAAAGAGATAGAAGATGTGACCCTTAGATGTGACATGTAATGCCACCAAAACATGGTGAAACTCGTGGATCACACGATAAGACATTCCATGGGACTGGCATATTAACCTACATTGGTTGAAGAAGGGTCAATATAAGTAAGTAGTATACAATATTCCAGTCCCATGGAGTGTTTGGGCAATGATCAGACCAAGGACACCTTGAGGACTCCCTTGACTCAATGTTGCTACCGGAAGACAGGCGCTCCAAGGCAATCCTTCAGCAGGTTTTGAAGACATTGTCCGAGCAAAAGCGTGCCAATCTGTTGTACGATACGTTAAAGACCATCCTGGACAATGGCAGCATAAAGCTACAAGGGTCCAATTGCACAGTCGGCATATCAACCTGCGCGAGGGCAAAAATGTGGCAGCAAGCCTTGAAGTTGTTTGCGGCCATGCCCGAGATAAAAGTTCAGCCCGACGGGATCAGCTACAATGCGACTATCAGTGCCTGTGAGAAGGGCGGGCAGTGGCCGCAAGCCTTGAAGTTGTTTG